TATTTAGCATTTGATTAGCTCAACACACAGGAAAGTCGTGATCAATTTATTATTATTATTAATTTATTAAATGTTTTTGCATGGAGTTCGACTCTTGAGACTCAAAACTTTGTGCAAGTAGTTTACAAAAGAGCTTGTAGTTCGATCAGAGATGATCACTGGAAGCACTATTAAAATGAAGAAAAATAGGTCTATGTATTTTTAAGCAAACCTTACTACTATGTCCTGGTGTTCAGAACAGGACATTTTTATTTTAATTATGTAATGGATTAAAAATACACTTTCACGGCTGTGTCCCTATAGTTTTGTCTTTGTATTGAGAGGTCTCTTCCTATATTTTACGATAAAATGTACCGCCCATGCGCCAGGAAACACGTCATCAAAGAGATGAGCTGCAAGAGCAGTGGAAGTTGATTAATGTGCATGGATAAATAATAATAAATACTGCAATATTCCATAAAAAGATAAGAATTGTCAGGGTGGTTAGTAGGTTCATTATTCCTTACATATAAACGTTTTTTCCCCCTGTAGCTTATTTCCAGAACCAATTTGATACCAGGAAATTTCTTTAACTGAAAACAGGTGTTTTGCTGATTGAATTACTTTTTATTCAAACATAAATGTAGTTTTTCAGCATTTTCAACATTCCACATTTTCGGTGTAGTCTATTTGAAGCAAGCAGGTACGATGTTCTCACTAATCAAATCAGCTTATGCCATCAACATGGAGAGAGTTTTAATCTACTGAAAATTCCTCATCCGCCGGAGGGCATGAATCTACTGACGTCTTTTGTGAACCAGAGAGAATGATTCACTGTGAGGTCGTCTCTTTTCCCAGCACTCCGAGACACAATGTTCCAGCCTCATTTCAATTACACTGCCAACTCATGCAGATCAATAATCAGCTATTATGAAATTAGACACTGATAAGCCATTTATTTATCTGACAAGTGAAATCCCAGAGAGACTGAAGCTCAGATTGATGCTGGGAAAAGACCGGAGAGCATCAATCACAGTTACACACTTATGTTTTCCATGACTTTTCCCATCAGTGTATACTGTCCTGAAATGGAATCAAGCGGGGTCTTGCCTCCTGAATAAGACATTTGATCTACTAGTCTGTTTGTATTAATGTCAGGAGAAGAGTGCATTCAGGACATTTACTCATGCAAAGGAAGTTAAACTCATACTTATTCAAGAAGTTAACCCGAAAGCAGGGATTCTCAGCTCTGGCCCTCGAGGTCCATTTAGCTCCAACCTTGATCAAACTTATAGCTTTCTAGTAATCCTGAAGAACTTGATTAGCTTGCACAGGTGCGTCCGAAATTGCATACTGTCTGAGTTGAACTAATTTGAACTTACTTCGCGACCATTAAAAAAGTATCTTCTATATGAATATAGGTAGAATTAATGAAATTAGGACGTACTACATCTGCCATAACTGTCATGTGACCTATAGCATCAGTTGCAGTTGCTTCACTGCCATTAAAAAATCCTCTCCCATGGCCTCATAGTAAAGTGTCCATCTGACTGAAATCACTCTTTTGAGTTGAAACTTATTTTGAATAAGTAATTGGGCTACTCCACGATCGCTAAAAACGTTGGGTCGCATCACTGCCATTCACAAATCCTCTCCCGAGGCCTCATGGGATAGGGATGGGATCCATCATGTGCACACTTGAGAATCTCGCCTGGAATAAGTAGATCATCCGGGTACTTTTTGCCTATACTCTTTTATGAGTACTGTGAATTCAGACACTGTTTTTCACCTAGGGAAGTATGCATCCAGAATCTCGGCATAAGTAGTAGGTCACCCGGATACTTTTCACACTACTCTACTGTGGCGTATGTTTTTCGCATACTATAGTAGGGAAGTATTCAGTTTCAGACGCAGTGCAAGATTTCCTCGCTGCAGTCTGTAGCACAAACCCAATACATAGAGATTTGGGTGAGATACAAGGGGGTTAAAGGGGTTAGTATTTGTTGTAGCAGTGAGTAGGCAATCAGAACTGTGATTAACTTAGTAAGGAAATCTTTATAATCGGCTGCGGGGTGGAGTTTGGGGAATACATCATGTGTCCAGTATATTGTGTTTGTTCCAGTATGTCGTTGCGCTACAGGCTACAGCGAGAGCAGCGTCCTAAACTCTGCAGGAAAAAGACCTTGAGAGCCAGAGTTGAGAACCCCTGCTATAAAGCTTACTTTATCGTATTTGATACATGAATTTCTAAGGCCTCTAAATTCATCAATACCAACACGATCAAATTTTTGCTGAAAAACCTGTTGCACACAATCTCCTATGTCTTCTGATAGTTCATACTTTTTAGCTAGAAAAAGGCCTTTTTAATATAATTCTGTAAACATCATCCTTCAGTTTGTAGTAGATGTGTGTTTTTGCAGTGAAATCTTTAATGAATTTTAGAACATTTTATATATCAAATTTATTTCAAATTAATTGTAGCCCAGTTTTGCTGCCAAAAAGAAACAAACCCCTACTAATAGTGTATTTGCTTTTTATGCAAGAAAATATTGGTCAATAGGTCAATATTGCAGTAGAGTTATTACAAATCGGACACCCTGAGAATAAAGCTGTATTGAAAAGTGCTGTAATGAAATCCGAGTGAGCCGTGTCCACAACACAGGCCTGGTGCTATCGCTTCCAGAACCACAAGAGGGCACAACGAGGTTCACGATCATGATCATTTAATGATCAAACTGAACTTTTTGCAACAGACAAAATATATGACTTTTATACATATAAAACATAATAAATATATAAATAATGAATCGACACTCAATGGTCAGGTGACACCAAATACCATTTATTAGGGCTTTACAAAGACTACAAAATCCCCCAGATGAATTAAATTTGTGGTCTCTTTCTATTTACATGATATGTTACTTACAAATGTACAAAATATAAAACATCTACCAACAAATGTTCCACCTGAAAAGAAACATTTTCAAAGTAGTTCAATGTTATGCGCTCACCGAGAGATGCGTTTGCCATAACACGAAGAAAATTAAAAGAATATTTCCGATGTACCATGGACAATCACTATTTGTGTTTGAGGTTAGGGAGCATTAGGCAGTTTGAAACCTTTACTGCACTTCTTATAAATGTTTCTGTTGAGTACTTTTACACTGAACAATGGTTGACAAGCAAAGCATCAGGCACAGAGTCACAGAGTTTGGAGGTTACACACATACTGTAGCACCACTGTAGTGCTGAGGAATCAAAAAGAAGCCGTTTCCTGAATCAACTAAAAGGTAGATTGGAAAGAATCAAAGGTTAAAGCCTGGCAGTGAGAATGAGTTACTTGGTTTGAGTCAGAAGGTGAAGCTGGATGCGGTAAAGGCCTGATCAAATAAGACGTAAAGCTTTTCAATGGTTCACCTATAGCACCTTGTATGAAACACCTTGTACCTCCTGACCATGTATACATCAAGCTAACAGATTCAGTTACTGTAAACATGTGCAAACTCTGGAAAGTGAAAAGTCTTTCACAGTAACATTTCTGGGAAGTCGTAAGTGATTTATTCAGACACTTTAGTCACACTTTCATGTATGAATGCCATTGCATTAGACTTGCATCTTCATAATAAATTATGCTAGATCTTCAACTAACTACACTTTTCTGCGTCGATTATTTTTTTTACATACATGTTCCACGCACAGAAGTCCTAGCAGAGTAACCACAGGTGTAGTTCGACAACTGAAACGTATCCTGATACGTGTCCTTGTAACACGTCACATGTACTTACTATAGTAATAACAGTACATTATGCATAATTACAAGCAACAAGCCCTAAACCAAACCCTAACCCTATAGTAAGTACATGTTGTCAATTAATATTACTCAGTTCTTAATTGTATTATTATTACACTGTAACAAGGACACCTTAAAATAACCGTTATTTCCTAAATACATGCACGTTGTGTGATTTTGTTATCTAGTGCAATGACATTCACGCATTTTTAAAAGTCCATTGAATTCAAAATGAAGCATTTTGTGGCTGCTAGTTTTGAGGTCATTTATATGCTCTTGTACTCCTTAAAGAAAAGAAAAAAAACCTTTATGCAGATATACACATTTAGAATTTACAGTATTTCTCTTTTAAACATATTGCAATCATAATGGACTATAAATATTAATGGCTTATCCTGCATTTAAGGGCGTATAAATATTTCTGTCCAATCAAATGCTCTTTAGAATGAAAATATCAGCTAGGTTCTGCAATAACTTTTGGTTGTCAGAAAACATTCATGGGGTCTTTAAGCGTGGCTTCCGTCCAAAGGGGCCAGTGTATCTGAAAGCTGCAAGACAGGAACTGTAACAGTGTGATGCAAGTTAGATATGCTTGATGCATTGCAAAGATAAAACAGGGAATCGCTTTGGATGATTTTGCGCCCTTGAACAGTAAACTGACACTAAAGTTTTCTGAAATTGAAAAACACTTCACCTCTCACTGTACAGTTTAGAGTTCTGTATAATAATAACCAGTTATTACAAGACATATAAGGTTTGGACAGGTTGCTGGTTTGCTTTTTTTTTCTCTTTTTCTCAGTAAATCACAAGAGCGTAATGCTAGACAAGAAGAGCAGAAACGCAATACCGAGCGGGCAGAGTGCATCTTTAAGAGGCTGTGCAAGACTTGGATGTATTTACAATCACCTTTTCAACTGTGCAAAACCCACATAGCAAACCAAAATAAAGGATGAATGAACCTCGACTACACGAACACTGGCGCACGGGAGCGGAAAAAAACGTTTCCGCGTGCATATACACACATATAGCAAAGAAAAAAACGGCATGCTAGCGAAGCGACGCGTCGGATTTGTGCTCTCGATTCAAGTGATCCCAGCTCAACTGGGATTACATAAAGATCTTTTTTACTTTTATACATTTGGACCGTTTTATAATGGCATGTTTTGCACTAAAACACTAATTGTAACAAAAATAAAATATGTGGACGTGGCATTTTAAGGAAAATGGTTGATCGGTTCTGCCCTAAGCCACCGTTTCTGTGGAAAAGGACAGCGGCACCACATTTAAATGTCTTCAGAGCTCAGCACATTTAAGGCAGCGAGAAAGCACCATTTTCTGGTAATTTCCACAAAGCTGGTACACTCTCCTACAAGCAGTCGCCTCGCACCTGCGGTGAGGAGAAAGCAACTACGCACACGGCCGTGGACTCGAACGAAAGAGGTCTGTGGTGCAGGAGTGCTGCAGGTCACTATACGCTTGGCAGTGAAACGAGTGGCGAAAGATTTCACAGTAGCGGTAATGACACGTTGCACGTTTTGTGCTTGTTGGCTAGAGGCGTTTCATGAACGGTGCCGGCGAGATGAGTGTAAACCACATGTTGGTTCTGGCACCACGGCAGCACCAGTTTGTTGACTGAGGTCAGAATTCAGAATGTTGCCCTTTAGGTTTTTAAACCTCAGTGAATTTCAACTAAACACTTGCCTCTGTAAACATGTTTAACTAACGAACCTCCAACAAATTCAAATTCCAGTCGTTTTTTAATAATTAAGTAAGCACACACACTTTCCCCCAGTGTCGTGTGTGCCACCAGCACCTTTTCTTTCGCTGTATACTGGACACTCCACCGGAGGCGTCGGGCGTTTCATAAGCCTGTCTCATGAGCACAAGTCCTGTGGGCCCTTTGCTTTTTAAACCAATCAGAAGACTTCCTCTTCGAATGGGGCGGGGCTTAGAGGGCAGACTCCAACGAGGAGTCCAGCAGGTCGTCGTGGTGACTGGCGCTGTCGCTGTCACAGCTCTGGGCACTGGAGTAGTTCGCAGCTTCCTGTAGCCTCATCAACATATTCATCTAATGGACAGAGAAGGACAAACACATACGTTTGCAACGTGGAAGATGTTACTCAATATCGCTGTGTAACAGTCAGTGCCAGGGTTACATGTTACAAGTAACAAATTGATGTAATTAAGTTACTTTTCTAGAGTAACAAGTTCGTAATTTGTTTATTTTTCACCATTATCCAAGTATACTTCCGTATTTATTGACTGACAAATACAATAGAAATGTATCCATGTTCTAGATCACTAGATCGTTGTAAACAATGTAAAAAAAAAAAAAAAGCCAAGAATAGTTTTACTGTTCTGAAAGAAACGGTGTCAGGCAGTGACTGAAAACAAACAGTCTCACAAAAGTAGCTGAGTTAAAATAGCGTTAAAGTGTCACATTAGCAAAATTTCGCAGATAAAAAAGCTCCATTGTCAATAGTACAGTAATGTATGAAGCTCAGCTCAAACCGAAGTCACTTTCAAACCAAGCAGCGTTCTGTTAGTCATCATGGCGAATTTGCCTGGTCGACTTGAACGGGTTGCGAAATCTGTGAGGGGCAATGTTTGCACTCATGCAATGTAATCTCGCTTGCGTGGATTCCTATTGAAACGACTGGATATCGTTCACAATTTATTTTTTAAATAAGTCCTTTTGATTATAGCACATGCAATAGTTTACCATGTTACTTTGAAATGTAACATTACCCAACACTGGTCTGTGCTGAACAAACAAACAAACACACACACTACTACAGTTGTAATGAACTCACACAACCACACTAGTGATGTTCAAAAACACAGCCACGAAGCACGAAACTAATGGTGTTTACACAGCACTCATTTACATCAATGACCACTGTAACACTAGTTGAACAGACAGACATTGGAACAAACACAGATAGAAGGAAACGTTTGTACCTCATCATTCACACAAAGACACAATAGAGAGAAACACTACAACATTAAAATCCATAAATCTATAAACACAAGCGTTATCAGACTGAACCAGATCAAACTAATCACTGATATTTAAACAAACAACAGCAGTTCTGTCACCTTATAATCTCTGAACGTCTGTTCTCAGAGAAAAAAAAAAAAGAAATGAGAGGAGACAGCAAGATGAGACAGTGCAATAATTGTGCATTTGTTTAAAAGCCTTTTGGCTTTTGACCTCAGGGAGCCACAGTCATTATTATAATATTATGACAATGAAATTGGCACTAATAAATATTTGTAAAATGGCTTCTTGAGATTGGGCCTTATTTGTGAAATACGAACAGAACACATTTCTGTGTATAAGTGTTTCTAAAGACATTCTCAGCTGAACTGAAAGCAACAAGTTACATACAAATGGTTTTGTGTATTATTTACAAAGACTTTTGTTCTGCCCATGTGTCCTGATTCGTGAATACTGTAGGTCACATGGCATGTACTAAGTGCTGCCACCTAGAGGACGTTTATTACGTATTGCTCATTCAGACTCTTACATTACAGTTATGTCCACAGGAGAGTGGGAGAGGGCTGTTTTGTTTTAATTATCTCTCTTTTTTTGTCACACACGTCTGGTTTACTATCAGACTGTGGGGACTCTTCATAGACGTAATGGTTTTTATACTGTACAAACTGTCCCGTTACACTACCCCTACCCCTAAACCTACCCATCACAAAACTTTCTGCATTTTTACATTTTCAAAAAAACTCATTCTGTATGATTTATAAGCTTGTTTTCTCATGGGGACCAAAAAAATTCCCCACAAGGACAAGGATTTTGGATATTGCCATCTTTGTCCCCACAACGTAGGTTACACCTTGAACCCACAAACACTTATCACTACCAGACTGCTTGTTTATGTTTACTAAGTCTCTATTATTCATGGACATTTTGGAAATATATGTGAGCATTTGATCTAGATAGCACTTCAACTTTATCATTTCCATGCAGAATTTTTCAGTTCTCCTTTTTGAATGTGTATACATATGGATACATGTCCTTACAAATACACATATAAATGGTAACCTGAAAAATCGGCATTCATTTCCCCCTACTCAAATATTGCCCATGTTTCACCTTGCTGCTCTTGGGCAAATCCTAGTCTAGAAAAAGAGCTAGTTATTTTGCATGACTAGTGATTTAGTACTGTAGTTCTTATTATCTTATAACTTACAGTATACAACACTATTCAAAAGTTCGGAGTATGTTTTAAAAAAAAACAACTTTTATTCAGCAAGGATCCATTAAATTGATCAAAAGTGACAGTAAAGACATTTATAACCTGTCAAAAGATTTACATTTCAAATAAATGCTGTTCGGAAAAAAGTATCATAGTTTCCACCAAAAAAATATTAAACTACGTTCTGAAGGATGATGTGACACTGCAGATTTTGAGTAATGGCTGCTGAAAATGTAGCTTTGCCATCACAGGAATGAATTATTAAATGATGTTAGAATAGTAATATTACTGTATGTTTGATCCGACCCCATACTTTTGAACGGTAGTGCATATCTAAATGAACTGTGTTTTATGAAGCTATCTTTACCAGTGGGTCTCCCTCTGTGTCACTCTGAGATACTTGTTTGGAGGCGGCTCCGTCTTTAGAGGAAGTGTAGCCATCATAGCCCACGTCCTCGGGCCGCAGCTGCAGCAGAGACTGGCCTTCATGCTGCAGGGAGGCGGAGCTCCAAGGGTAGGTGTCAATCACCCATTTGGAAGGGTCCTCCCATGCCGCCCTCTTACCATACAGCTGGAGTGATAAAAAAAAAAAAAAAGGTTTTAGGTATAAATTGTAAGAAATACCTATAATACATGAGTGTGTGTGGTTAAATGTGTACCTGCAGTCCTTCTCGTACTGCTTCCAGTAGATATGGCACTAGAGAATAGTTCCACAGGTCAGTAAACCACACACGTGAGCCGTCCGCATCCATTGGACAGGACAGGAACAGCCGAGGACCTGGAAGCAAAATGATTTAACATCTCTGGGCTAAATAACCAAATCAAATATGTTAATTGGCTTGTATGTTGTGTTTATTACCGATAGTGACGTCTGAGGAGCTGTGAGCCTCTAAGAAGGAATTGAGGTGTTGCCAGGTTTTGGGGATCCAGTCGATGATTTTGATGAGGTCGTTGCTGCGCATGTTCTTATCAATCTCAGTTTCAATCAACTTTCTCTTCAGGAATCGGCCCAGGAAGCCCTTCACCGGCTCAGTGTGGTTGGCACACAGCACCCACCTGAGGGGTTGATGGACTGATATTACACTGAGAACATGACTGGAAAGATCAGTGTGTGTTTATGTTTTTGTACTGTACGTGTATGTGTATGTATGTGTGCAAGTGACAAATGTAAAATATGATCACTTATGGCCCCCATGTGGAGAGAAGCTAGAATAACAATCATCAGATGCTGTGTGTTTTGTTCAAAACCATCTGCTATATTGACATTGAACACATTACCTGAAGTTGTGATGCAACTCCAAGTTTGGAGATGAGGACACACCCTGGTTCATAGTTCCTATGACATACGGGCTGTGGAAGGGACCGATGCACATAATTAGATGCAATTCATTTGCTCAGTTTCAGATACACAAGGAAAATCCACTATAATGGGTGTCAAATTGTGGTATAAAATAAACAGTTCCTGTAAGAAATGCTGATTGGTCAATACAGATAAAATACATTTAGGAAACAATATTTACAGTAATATTGTGAAATATTGTGATCCTTCAGAAATCATTCTAAAAGGCTGATTCGGTACTCAAGAAACATTTCTTCTTATTATCAATGCTGACAACAGTTGGAATCAGATTCTTTGTTGAACAAAAAGTTAAAAGGAACAGCATTTTTTCAGAACAGAAATATTTTGTAACATTATAAATGTTTTTACTTTCACTTTTGAGCAATTGAATGTGTCCTTGCTGAACAAAAGTGTTAATTACAACAACAAAAAAACATTTGGGTGTTGTATATTTACAATATTGATGATCTCTTGTATTTTACTGCTTAAAAGCTAAATAAATATATTTAAAAAGTTTGGGGTAACAATAGGAATCATCACCATTTGTGGTATTTGCAGTTGAGGAATCCATTGAAGATGTCACTGAGGGAGCCAATATGATGGAGGTTATCCAGAATAACTACGGTGGGGAGCTCGATCTCACACTCCTCTGTGTTGCACTGCTCGGCCAGGCTAGAGAGGTACTGTCGAAGATCCTGCTTTGAACAAACACAAAGCACATATGTATTACACATCTGAGAACTTTGTCATTACTTTAAAAGGTAACAATCAGTAAGTCATTCACAGGTTGATTTCCCCAAAATGTGTAAGTCTGTGGCTCTTTCGAAACATTGCTTTTTTTATTTTTAGCATTTGGCAACTTTTGACGAAGGGCGTGAGTTTAGTGTGGGATTATATGTTGGTTTCTGCCAATAGCAAATGGGGAGAATCTTTGGAAAGCCTTTTATAAAACAATTATTTTAACAATTTTTCACAACATTGCACTTCTTCCTGATCTTGACTTCACAATGTCACTCATTTAAATAATCCCCGTACACGGAATAAGCAAAAAGGGGATGAGGCCTGGTTGATCTGCGCTAGAGAAGACCTGCTTTATAGAGTGTTTTTGGTATGTCAGAGTTGCTGTTTTTTCCACCCCGGTTGATTTGCCTTCTTAAGGCGGACAAACTTAGAAAACAGTGGTTAAAATGTATTATTTTATCTGTAATGCACAATTTACGGAGGACAGCTTCAAGAACCTAAGTGAGTACAATGCCGAATACGCACAAAAGCTTCTCCTGAGAGAATTACCAATAGCAATTACCATTTTACCATTATGGTAAGGGGTGTGACATTTCCGTAACACGCTCTAAGCAGTTCGCCAATCACAACATACTGGGCCAGCTGACCAATCAGAGCATATTTTGTATTTCAGAAGGAGGGCCTTCATTGAAACAGGCATTTGAGTCACACTAGGAAGAGAGGAGCTGCAGTGATGTAAAGTATGTGAAAAATAATTAGTTTTTGACAAATCAAGCATGAAAACCTATTCTAGCACACCCCCAAAACAAAATCAAGACTTTGTAAAAGGGCATAATAGGAACCATTTAAAAAATGAATGCTTCCCAGAATGGAAATACATGCCTTGCTGGATTTCTGGTCCACGTTGAAGCTCGCCAAGTTAGTGTCGGTTACCTCTCGACCAGTCTTGGAGATGATGAAGTAAGCCAGTTTAGTGGCTAGGTAGGATTTGCCAGTTCCACTCGGACCGGACAAAATGATTCTACGGTGCTCCATCAGCAGGTTCAAATAGCGTTGAATGATGGGTTTAGGGATCAATGTATCAAACACCAAGTCATCAATACTACCCTCCTTCACACCTACAGTACATAAACAGAAAGACATTTGACTTACTTCAAATCTTTGCTGCACATTTGTCCTCTTTTGAGGACCCTACAAGAATCTTTTGAGGTTCCTCACCTTTGAGGCTGACTGTGATGACGTTGTTGTCGCCCACCAGATATCCACAGGGCAACAGTTCAGGCACCTCAGAAGCATGAGATCGGACCACGTCCCCCATCCTATAGCACACTATACTATCCGAATTCAGTCCCAGACTGGTTAACGGGTCCACACGGAACACATACTCCTTAAGGCAAGAAAATGAATCTGTTAGATCTGAAATATTGGAACTGAAATATATTTGCAAAAGGCTAAACTGGCACCTTAAACAAGCGTCGTATTACACCATCCAACACGTCCCACTTGGTCTTTCCACTGACGCCAATGGAGCCAATCAGATACACCTTCTTCTGCATAGCCTTAGATGACGAGAGGATATGAAATGATGCTCGTAAGGTATTGTTTATTAGTAGTTTCATTTCAAAACAGCTTCTGAAATTAAAACAGGAGAATTAAAATCACTATACCTTGGTCTTGTTGAAGTCGCTCTTGATCATGACCACTATACGGACGCTCCTGCCCTCTTTGCGTAGGTTGCCCTCATAGCCGTCATCCAGCAGAATATCTGTGCACACAAACACGAACTTCAAACTCACTGCATGACAAAAATATCAAAGCCTGAACAACTCAAAAGACTTATCGCCAAATGAGTCATTGAATCTGGGGGAGAAAAACCTTTTCAGCGCTGACAAATTCGGCAAGCGGAGACATTAAAGTGTAGCTTTGACTAGATAAACGCCGACCGCTTTAAGTTTTGTTGTCTGCGGGGCTGAGCTGTTTGGTTTTAACAGGGATTTAAATAAAGGAAGAGGGCTGTTAGTGGAGGAGTGCGGCTTTGATGGGCCTTGTATGAGGAGCTTGGTGAATGGGCAGAAGGGAGGCGCTTTGTATTCATCCTGCACGAGGTTCTGCAGAGGAGTGATAACGTCCCTTCCACCACACGTCCGCCCACGCTCTAGTGCCCCTCCACACATCTCTCCATCAATTAAGTAGCCCAAAGTCCTGAGAGAGAAGGAAGTCGCTACTTTTAATTAGCCGGAGAGCAAGCGAGTCCACGCCATCCCACCCCAAAACGTGGCCACAGGCACACCGTTCAAATCCTCCCTTACAGAAAAGACGGCATTTCACTCTTCGCTGCGTTCTTTCTCTCCTCGCACAGCTGTGAAATAGTCTTTCCCATGCCAGAGTTTTCATTAACGCCACACCAGAATCATCAATAATACAGACATATGCAAATCTACACTGCAGTCCATGAGCTGAGCACACTGGTGGAAAACGAAATCATCCGATTGAAAAATATCTACCTGGACACTGTCAGCGAGATGATTATACGTATCAAGTTTGCTTGCAACGGTTTTTAATTGTGACCTCATATCCCAAATAGTACCAAGTCTCACAAGAAAACACCAATTTAACACTGTTTATCCATGTATCATCAAAACATTGAGCCATAAAAATAATCAATACTAGGATTCCATAAAGGTTTGGATATTTTGGTAGTTGTGATAGTTGTGTTGTGATTTGGATGTATTTGTCATGAGAAAATGCAGTTCTAAATGCCTGTTCTCAAAATCTCATTGGGCCCTATCATACACCCGGCGCAATGCAGTGCCAAGCGCAGTTTCAGCCCGACGCAGTTATCATTTTCACATCCTGCGCCACGTTGTTTAAATAGCAAATGCATTTGCGCCTATTTATGCGCCCATGGGCATGCTGGTCTGAAAACGAGGTGTGTTATAGACTGCGCCATTTACCTACAAAAATCTGGTCTAAAGTCAATGGCGCAATATTTTTTTTTGTTATTTAAAGGCACACTGTGGAATTTTTGGCCACTAGGGTGCGCTCGACCTGTAATTTTCACGTCTAGTGCCCCTAGAGGCCACAAGCGCCGCAGCATTGTCGCAAAAGTCAACAAACAGTCAACCGGTCAACCTCCCGTGTCTTTATGTGTGTGCAGACGGCATTTGATTTGTATGTTGGAGAAAGTTAATCGATTCACTACTGACCAAAATAATAATATAAATATAAGATTAATAATATAAATCCTATAAAGAAAACAAATTGAATAAAAGTAGCATACGCAGAAAACAATGTCTGATCAGGTAAGTCGCATTGACAAGGGTTGCCCAATCCTGCTCCTGCCGATCGTCACAGTTCATCTCCAACCCTAATCAAACACACCTGAAGCAAACAATTAACGTCTTCAGGATATCTTTGCAATGGGTTGGAGATGAAATCAAGTAGTCGGGAAATCGTGTAACAAAACTGATATAACTCACTACATATTTCCGTTATTTGTAGTCTTCAGTTTGTTTTTCCTTTTACACAAATACAAACATATATGAGCTGAAAGGAAAAAAAAACATTTACATTTGTATACGGCAGTATGTTGTGACTTATATCAGTTTTGTTACACGAATTCGCAGTAAATACTACATTATATATAGGCTACACTTTTATGCCGATGTTTATTTTAAACTCTCCCTTTTTCTTTTTTTGGTCTCCTCTGACAAAATCTTTGCTTTCTTCGCTTTCTTCCGAGTAGCTGTTGATTCAGCCATGACGACAACATACAGACGCCGGCAATCAAACGCGAGTTGAGCTCTCACGTTAGAATTTGAGGAAGTTGGGGTGGTGGGGGAAGTGACGTATGCCGTAAAGCGGTCGAATTTTGTAGTTCTTTTTGTGCTCGGGTTACTACCCGAAACCCGAAGTTACATAGTGCTAGTAAAAGCGATACAGACACCTTCAGGCTTCGGCAGACCTGTCATTCAACCTATTGTAAGTCGATGTACCATCTCAATGGGTTTTGTTAATATATTATTAAGGTTGAAAAGTTCCACAGTGTGCCTTTAAAGAGCGTGTTAGTAATGTGCGCCTATAGGCGGGTCCACAGTGCGCGTACACTCTGCTTATTACACACACAGGGACGCACAGCAGCACACAAACTAGCCAAATATTAAAAATAAAAGGATTACAATGTAAAAGATTAATATTGTGTACATAAAGATATGGTGGAATCCGGTTTGTCCTGTAGATGGTCTGCTCGCGTGCTTTAACCTCGCGTACAAGCAGATCTAGTTGCGCTCTGGAGACGCGTTCAGTCTTTCCGCTTGCAAATTCCGTCATGTAAATAGCAATCCGCCAAGGCGCGAGCGCAACTGGAGATGAGACTCTGGTTGGTTTATTTCATGTTACGCCCAAAACACACCCATTACTCATTTCACGAGTTCACACTTACATACAATTAAAGGGAATAAAGTATAATGCGTATTTGGCGTGCTGTCCGGGGGGAGGGCTCCGAGCTCGGAATTCGGCCCGCACCCAGAGTACTCCCCCCCGTATGTAAAGTGGTTTAGGACTAGAAGAGTGGAGAAGGGGTGGTGGAGGGACGCTGGTAAACTGTCAGAGAAATGAGGTGAGACTGGTGAGTCTATAAATACACGTTTTAATCATGATTGCTGAGTGCTCTCCACCCGTGTTAATTATCTGAACGTGCTTCTCCCGAACTTTGTTAATAAAACATCATTAAGAGAATAAGGACAACCCTTTTAGACCAAGCACCTCGCGTGCGCCGACCATTTTTCCCATTGTTAAACTGGATTCGGAAACCGTGGATTCGGACACGCCATAAGTGCAATTGTACCCTGTGCTTTAGAGACCATGCGCTTAGATCGTTAAAATAGGGCCTTAAACTCTAAGACAATAGTCCACACCACAACTATAACTATAACTAAACAGAGGAACGATATTGCTGGATTTTTTTTCTTTCATAAAACGAACCCGAGTATATGTTGTTATATTGGACTGAGTTGAGTACAGCAATCAAATTAATTTATGTAAAACATAGTCGTCATATTGTCATTCTAACTACTTCTATAACATATTTAGATCTGAAGAAGATCCAAAGACTTTTCACAATCCCCAAAAACAAGGTAACAATGGCTAAAGCAACATTTTGATGGTGCATAAACATTGTTAGACCCAAATAACTCCACATTCATATTATGAAGCAAAGCCTGACCTGACATAATGGTGTCTGTGATGTTGAGGTTGTTCAGCGACAGCCCCAGAGATTGGCGTGAGGACGAGGAGGACGTGCTGGAGGTTTCTGAAGGTGGACGGGCTGTTTTAGCAGGTGTGGCAGCAGGTGTGGTGTTGCCACTGGACTTGAGTCTGTCATTCTCAGCCTTCAGCAGCTCAATCTCATTCTGTACATAAAAAACAGGTCGTGTCAAAACTACAATGATAGCTACAATAAAACTACATTTCCCTAACTGGACATATATATGCAGTCAACACATACTATTATGTTACTAGAAAAAAGGGAACTTTCCCACACACTTCAAAACTGAAATACGCTTTTGTGACATACTAAGAAGATTAGGACTTGCTCTTTGTTGTCTAAGTTTTTAAACTGTTTCTAAGGCTTTTAATGACTGTGAGAAGTTAAAGATTTCGTTAATCTTTAGATTAGACTTGTGTGCCAGGCTCAGCAAACCAGTGCTTAGGAAAAGCTCAGACAGATACTTCAAGAGTATGAACAACACAGTCTGGTTGTTTTATCCTGGAATTAGAGCAATTTGGCCCTTTTATCAACAGTTACTTTGATCTTAGTCATTCAATCACCTTGTTTCAGACTTTAAATGATTCAGTCCAATTTTTTTTACAGCATAAGCTTTTGCTGGCAAACACTTCATTAAACAAAACAACTTTGTGGGATTCTTTAAACTTCTGCAATGAGTGTTCTGTGTGAGTCCTAATAAAGTACTTTGACATATATATATATATATATATATTTTATTTTTTCATTTTTATACACTATTGTTAGGGTACACAGCACATACACTATTGTTTAGGGTACACAGCACAACTGTTTTCAACATTGATTGTTATAAAAAAATGTCCCTTGAGCACCAAATCAGGATATTATGATAATTACTGAAGGATCATGTGACTGAAGACCGGAGTAATTGCTGCTAAACATTCAGCTTTGCCATCACAAGAATAAATTACATTTTAATATAATACTATAATATTTTAATATAGTACATAGATCACTGAATTGCACTAAGACACTGGATTATAATTCACAAGACAATGATATAATGTTGCAGGGCCCAGAGTGAGTCAGCATGTATACGTGTGCGTGTGTGTGTGTGTACCTGCATGCGATTCATGGCTTCTCGTATCTGATCAAGGTGGTGGGCGGAGCTTAACGCCTCCAGTCTGATATCAGTCAGCTTCAGCTCCTTCTCTCTCAGTTCATTCTTCAGCTGTAGGATAATCTCGGCCTCGGCCTCTGTACATTCACACAGTCTGCACAAACACACACCATACAGGGAGGAGGTGGGTCACAACACTGTTACACATCACAGAGAGCTACTGTACAAAACACAGGTGGGTTTAATGCACAACAAACTCCTGGAGAATTAGATGGGGTCAGAAAATGTATATGCACAAACACTTTGATGCACACAAATGCACACACTGGGCTTTGTGTTTTATATTTGTGAGGGGCGTCTGCTGCATTCCATTCAAAGTTGGATGTGAGATATAAAGCTGTGAGATGTAAAGCTCCCTGGGTACCGCCATGTTAGCCTGACATACTTTTCCACACCTTGGTGAGTTGTGAATTTATGCATGGTAAGAAGTCAGACTTTTAGTGAAATTCTATTGCGTAGAAAAATTCTAAGTAGGAAATTCCAACATTTCGAGCTGAATGGAATGCGGCATTAGAGATCACATTCATGATCAACACAAACAGGAAGTGGGAATCCATCATGTCCTTCATTAAGGCTTGTTCAAACCAACAACAATAACTATAATGATATAATGATAACTCAAGCTCTTTAAAGCAGGATGGATTCTGATTAGCTGTCATTGTTTTTATCATTCATAAGCTGTAAAAAATCGTTATGAAAGTAATTCCAACAATATAGTTCCTAGCTCTATGTCGTTATTGTTATAGTTGTGGTGTAGAATTCTCTGTTCTCATAGAATTACAATGAATATTAAAACTTAAGTTATCATTATCATCATGATTATCATTATAGTCAATCATCCTTGGTGCGAAAGGGCCTTTAAGCACAGGCAAATTATTGAAGTTAAAGCAACATAATATGGTAAGTAATAGGGGTGACCCCGAATAGTCGAAGATTCGATGCTTCGATAGGAGGAGCCTGATTCGACTACCAATCTCACGGTCGAATCTTCGCAGATGTGTTATTAAACGAGGATTATGTCATTTTGGCTATATGAGTGTGCTCAATGTCTGATTTCACATAGAACTACTGGTTTTCTGTCAAAATGTTAATATACAGCCTATTATGATAATGCTGTCAATAAAAATGTGCAAAGAAAGAAGCTTTTAATTAATATTTTTTAACGTGCGTGCAGCGTGAATAAATCCAAACACCCCGAGACAGATTTAAGTTTCACTTTCGATCCGTGACCGACAGAGGAGCGTCTTGTCGGCAGGGATTTAAATCTTTAAAAATGTCTGGGATAAGAAAATCTAAAGATGCACACAAGCCACAAGGATATTCTCCAAGGCTGGATTTAGCATCAGGAAAACCATGATCGCACTTCTGCCGGCCAACGTTAACAGGTTGGTTTTCCTCGGGACGTTCTAAAACGCTTAACGTGAAAAAAGCTTTTAAAACGCTTAAATGGCACTTTTACGTGCTTAATGTATGTACACAGTAGGCTACACACCTTAAGAAACCATTCTATGTGCAGATAAGCAGATGAACCCAGAATATGAACGCAACGCAACTCAAGTCACGTAAAGCTTTTTCTTTAACGGTTTTCTATGGGAGGAAAATGCTTAACGTAGCCTATAATAAAACGCGTTGCGTTCATATTCTGGGCTCATCTGCTTTTCTGTAGGCTATATAGTATGCTTTATTAATAAGGTGTGTACAGAATTTGATCTTTTAATATAACAGTTTTAGGACAAAGCCGTTAAGCGTTTTTCACATTAAGCGTTTTAGAATGTATTTTATCCGCGCACACAATTTGAAAAGACTCAAACGGACACAGGCCGAGTGAAAGACTGGATTTTGTTTTTTCGATCAGGTATGGGTACAAGGGATTTCAAAACATTTCAGCCGGTTCTAATTTGATTTTTGGATACTGTGAACACGTTTAGCTAAAAAGACTGCCGTTCCAGTTTAGTGTTTATTGTTGTTTCTGCAGTTAAAAAGACAAAGTTGACAATCCTGGCCATAGTTTCGTTATGTTAATAATTTATTTATTTTTATTTTATTAATTGATCACTCAGGGTGATCTAATTTAACTAGCCTATTTGTGACTTGTGTTTTGAATATTTGTTCCCCTGCACTTTAGGCATTTTGCACACATTTGTTCTGCTTCTTGTGACTTGATTCTGACTTATTTCGTTTTGTATTTTTATTTATTATAAATGTATATTGTGTTCTTAATTCTTGATTATTTTTCAGTGCATCGATGTTGCGCTGTAGGCCTAGAGCATGCTCGTACAGGCAATTCAGCCGATTTAGCAAATCCTATCTGCAGTGTGGCCTTTCTGCAGTTATTTATGTAATTTCTTAGTTTTATTGATCCAAAATGTTTTTATACATTTTCTTCTATATCTTTGTGTGATGTTCTGTAGATCGCGGCTTTAAAATGTTAAAGCCCCGCCCCCTCCCCAACACCACACACATGATTCGACTATTAGTCGACTATAGGCAGGACTTGACGAATCTGATTCGACTATGAAAATCCTTAGTCGGGGACACCCCTAGTAAGTAATATTTTAATGCAAAAACTCAGGTATATTTTAATTTGATTCTTAAATGATTATAGACGAGTTTGACTTTTTTTTTCATAAGCATATATTGAAATCTTTGTTTATTTTATTTTATTTGTTTTCACAAAAATCTTCTTAATTAAATTTCCATTTTTTTAGTACATCTCCCATTACAAATTAATTAGAATATATTTTTGTCATACAAGTCTCACATGAAATGATTTGCAACTGAAATATAGGGGAAGGGATCTTTTGTAATTTTAGTCACTGCACACTCTCAATCCTTCCCAGCATGCCACACTGTGCCCGTTACCGAGATCTGTGCTTGTAGACCACATGACCGTTTGACTTTTTCTTTGGCATCCAAATGGGGGAGGACTTGCTATCACAAAAACACTTTCTGAAGACACATGGAATTGAGGAACAAGGACAGAATACAGAAATGATTAAGGGATAGGATGAAATATAAGTAAGATTATCAAAAAAAAAAAAGAGCGCAAAAAAGAAAAGAAAAATCTCAACAAAACAAGTAATAAAATCACTGAAACACAAGTGGAAGTTACTGGTGATAAAAGTGTTGAATGTGTTATGGCCCATTAAGAGTTTAACTGAAATAGAAACAAATGACATTAAACCATAACAAATCTGTGCATGTTTAAGCATCTACTGTATTTCATAGAGCTGTATATGCATGTACTGTATGTGTGTCTGTACTCACTCTGTGGTGGACGGTGATGAGAGCAGTGGTTGGATGGTGCTGGTCTGTCTGTTGGTGTGTTGTAGTTTGGGTGAAGAAGGGAGGGATGAGTCAGTCATCTCTTCAAACTCATCGTGAGATGATTGGGTCTTGTTGGTCTTTTTCTTGCTGAAGGCCTGCTTAAAGGAGCTCCGCAACTGTAAGAAAACCCCCCACATATTATATTCTGTGCTAACCAAATGCATGCCACAATTTCTGAATATAGCCTGAAACATTCATTCAACAAATATTATTGCATTATATAATGCTTAAAAGATCATTAGGTAAGACATTCAAATAGTCGGGTAAACATCACATGGTGATTTTCAGTCAGCTTATGATAAAGGTTAAAAATAAGGTTAATGTAATATATTGAGAGGGTAAATACCAGCCTGCTTGTGCAATTCACTGTGCAGAAACATACAGTACTGGCAGTCAGTGGGACTGGGGGAAGCACATATTTCTATGGAAACACTTAAGATTTGGGGGGGGATGGGGGGGGGGGGGGGGAGGGGTTAGTTGGTGGGGTGGTGGGGGTGGGGGGATTGTTTGAGGTTATCAGAGGCAAACGGCCTCAGTGATGTGGGACGTGAAAACACTAACCTGGGCGGGGATGGAATCAGCCACCTATGGATAAAACACACTCACTGTTACTATTGACTGAAACGTTCACTGCTGGACCAGAATATTCAGGAACAGCAGCATCATTTATTCATTGTTCATTTGATTAGATTAGATCTGAATGGAGGCTGTGTCTGTCAGCATGGAACTAGTTCATTCCACAGAACAGCATTTGACTGGAACTCCATATTTCCTCAACTTCCTTTGACATCAGTGCACTCAACAACAAGGACATTTTTTTCTGACCTGGTATTATTTGCACTTGTTCAGCTACTGCACTCACAACAAGCATATCACATTTTATATGTATCTTAAGTATTTTTATGCGATTCTTTTTTGTACATATACACACAAATAATATGTATTATATATAAAATATGTATTAATATATTTCATTAAAAGCTATAATATATATGCCTATTAGAAGACAAAAAAACATACAAATGGTGAAGGAATTTACATGTGTTAGAAACTATCCATCTATCTATCCATCCATCCATCCATCCATTCATCCATCCATCCATCCATCCATCCATCCATCCATCCATCCATCCATCCATCCATCCATCCATCTATCTATCTATCTATCTATCTATCTATCTATCTATCTATCTATCTATCTATCTATCTATCTATCTATCTATCTATCGATCTATCTATCTATCTATCTATCTATCTATCTAATTAAACTTTTTCTGTTTTCTTTACAAATATTTAGACACATTATATATATATATATATATATATATATATATATATATTAGTGCTGTCAATCGATTAAAAATAACTAGATTAATCACACATTTTTTCTGTGATAAATCATGATTAATTGCAGTTAAAAACAAGATTTTATGCATTTTAATATATGTTATAATGTAATAATTCCAAATTAATGTAGAAACAACACAACGTTTTCTTTTGTCTTGTCGCGGTTGAATGGTTTAAAAGCTTTTGCATTAATATATTGCTGGCCAAAGGGTGGGAGAAAATACAGATGCTGCATTAATTGCGTTAAATATTTTAACGCGTTAAACTGGACAAAAATGAATCGCATGCATTAACGCGTTAACGTTGACAGCACTAATATACATACACACACACACACACACACACATATACTGTATATATATATATATATATATATATATATATATATATATATAATATATATAATATTATCAGAATTTTAAAAAATATTTTTCCTTAAGCATTTTCTTTTTATATATGTGTATTAAATTATATTTAATAAAAGGCGAAACAAAACTGTCCCGCAACTCTCTCTCACAATGCATCCTTATTGTTGAGCCCTGCTTTGAATGTATTATATTGCAACCCTCGTCTCCCTCGTTTTCTTTTTAGTTTGCTTTCTCATTGTCTTTCATCTTTGAGCAGCGTTTCCAGACTGTCTGAATCCAGAGACCACACTGCCTCAAATTGTGCTGATGAATAATTAATAGGCGCATAAAAAAGAGGTGATTGGTATTTATGAGCTCGGTTTGAGCTCTGCTCTCATTATAAGAGTCCAGGGCAGCTCGAGGAAAAGTTGCCATAACTGCTGCTCACAATGCCAATGTTATTTCTCAAACAGCGGTTTACCTCAAGTGCTCTCGACTTAATGTACACCCTAAATGAGAATAAACAACAGCCCGCAAGCGTTAGGAGATAATAAAACTACGAAATAGCTGCGAGTGAACTAGAACAGCTGAGTAAAATATGCAAAACTGCATCTTAATAACATAAATATATCACCGGTAATGACTGCAACCTGAGCGAGAAGATGTTCTTAATTAGTGCATTCCTCAAAGAAGATATAAAGATATGCTTTTTAAAGGGCAAGGACTGAAGGGTGAGGAAGTTTAGGGGTTTGAAGGGCCACTGAGGGGAAAAAACGGGAAGAGCATGTCGGATCCTTCATACGGGCATGCAGGAGAGTTTGAGGGGGTGTTATAGTCACCTTGTGTCCTCTATCCTTTCCCTGCTGGTGTGGTGAGGAAGTGAAAGACAGAGAAAGTGTGAGAGGGGGCGTGAAAGAGGGCGAGACAGTCGGAAGGGGGTGAAATGACAGAAATGTTTGTGCTACGTGTTCTTGATGATCCCAAAGTGGAAACTGAGTTAGAGAGGATACCACTACTAGAATGATGACTAACTAAAAATCACTTTTTCATAGAAGAATTTGAAAACAAGCCTTATAGAATACGATAAAGACACACCTTTCTTTCCTCTTACAATGTTAGTCAATGTTTCACAGTTGCTAAATATGGAAAAGGCATTAATATCTAGATGCTAAGAATGCAAAGGTCATGAGTACGATTCCCAGGGAAACCAACAATAAAACGTAAATATGTACATTGAAAATGTTCATTACATTGTCGCTTTGAATAAAAGCGTCAGCCAAATGCAAATGTAAAATATAATCAATTTGTAATATACTAAACATAAAACTGTAAGATGAAGCCATTTATGCAGCCATCAAGCCGAACAGTTCTAAGAACGGTTATATTTCCACTTGAGCTTGGTTCGGTACGGCAAGATTACTGTTCTCGGCTCTATAAGCTCTTTAAACATGGACTGCAGTCGTCAATTTTTTATATTTTGTCATCTAATGCAGTGATTCATACATTTCATATATATATATATACTCCTTGCTCTAACTTTTTTTTTTCAAATGCTGTGCTCTTGTTTCATCACAGTTGTAGTCATCATTCTACAAGCGGACACGCCTGTGATGCTGAAGCCTTGTGCAATGACTCACCCAGCTTTTCTTCTTTTTCTTCTTGTCGTCTGCGTCTTTAGCGCTACCCATACTGGAATGGCTGGCTGCACTGTTAATACTGGACATACTTTCTGACGAGTGCTGTCGACGGATCCTCAGGTCTGCCACACACACACACAGACACACACACAAACGGTCATCATCACATAACAAACATTCGTGAGTTACAGTGGAACTTACAATGGAAGTGAATAGGGACAATTTTACATTTACAGCACTTACATTTATTCTTCTGTTAAAACTGAAATTTAGTTGTTTAAATTATTATTTTTATGGTTGTTTAAAGGCTTTAGGTGTTTCGACATGGGAATGAAGTAAAATGGCATATACCTTTACACAGAAAATGTTAGTAAGTGGGTTTTTTTTTATACTTACATCATGTTAAAAAAAAAAGAAAAACCAAAGAAGGGACAAGTTGAAAATTCAATTTTGAGGCAATCGATTATACCACAAGTGCTGTCGATTGAGTTTAAAAGGTGCTGTCACATTAGCAAAAATTGCGGTGAAATTTAGTGGGCAAAAAAAGATTCATTGTTTATCATCAATAGTGTAAGGTATGATGCACAGCTCACATAGAAAGTCACTTTCAAACCAAGTAGTGTTTTGTTAGTCAACACATCGAATTTGCTGTGTGACAACTTGATATCATTGCGAAATCCGCGTGGGGGAATCTATTGCACGCACTATGCAAGGATTCTTACTAAAATGAATGGATTTCAACGGTAAATGTGACAGCACCTTAACTTGAACCTGAAATATTCCTTTAATAATTGCGAACTAGGAAGATTTTGAAGTAGCTACACAAGCAGCACCTTTATGAACGTGATCAGGGCCGTTGAGGGCCACTTGAATGGCCGTCTGAGCATCTGTGTTCTGAGTTTTCAACGCTTCAATGGTCTCTCTCAACTCCGCCAGCTCGGACTCCTGCAACACACACAGTTACATTGAATATAAACACAACTGACTTCCCCATATCGCTTAGAAAAATAAAAGCACACCTCCCCCAACAAGCCACACGATTATGATTAATGTCTGTTGCTCAAATGATGCAGGGAGAATTGTGCACCAAAGTTGAAAACTAATGGTGAGAGGTTTGTTTAAATCCCAAACCCTAAATATGCACAATAATAATTGTGATGCTAGCAAGCATTGCTAATTAAAATATCAAATCAGCATTACTTCTGAATCGCTAGAAAGGAAGTGAGCCACATGGCACTTTCGGTTTTTGACCCTACACAAACTCTTTTGTAGGCGAAGCACAAACTCCCTCTCGTACCACCAGCTGTCTTATTCCTCTATCAGATGTTTCCTGCCAAAAAAGCACATGTGGAGATAAGCGCCCCGCTGATCCGAGGAACCGAGCATGTGTTGCAGCCCCCTATTCCATCACAATACGATCTCTCTGTCGATCCAGAGCTCAAGATTCTAGTGCTTACGATAGGGTTTCGGCTTTAATTGAAATTGTCCCGTCTTAACAAAGACGTCCCTCTGTATTCTCTGATGGTTTATTCAAGAGGGATTAACAGAGGCAGGAACTCATTAAGTCGATGATGGTGCTTTGTGCAAATTAAGGAAGCAGTTTCACATTTTAACCTGAAGGTTACATTTACATGATGACTGGATGGTTTTATTGATGGGTGGAACTGCTTAGACTGCTCAGTCCCCCCTAGAAAATGGTACAAATATCTCTTGATTGGTAGAATATGTGCTATTATGTCTCAACAAACACAGAAAACATTCAGATATTTAAGTTGTTGTTCACATTTGTGTGTGTATGTCCTTTCCTACCTTTTGCTCCGCTGTCATTGTTAGACTCTGCAGGCGACAGGTCATGTTCGTCAGACTCTTCTCAAACGCAGCCACCAGGTGTGCCTGTCAAAACACACACACACACACGCAGATTTTTCAACAGAGAGTTCTAATAAGATACTTTACCAAATCCACAGGGTAACTGAGAAAGAATCGCAAAATTAAACTTCTCTGGGTTCAAGGCTATCAAAGTTCAGTCGCTGAACATCAAGAGGTACATGGATAAATAATAGTTATGCTAATAGTATGTATGCTAACGTTCAAAAGTTTGGGGGTCAATAAGATTTGTTAATGTATTTAAAAAAAAATAATATTTTATATTCAACAAGGCTGCATTTATTTGATCAAATATGGTAAAAACAGTAATATATATATATATATATATATATATATATATATATATATATATATATATTAAATGACAGTTTTCTATTGTAATATATTTTAAAATATAATTTATTCTTGTGATGCAAAGCTGAATTTTCAGCATCATTACTCCAGTCTTCAGTGTTACATGATCCTTTAGATATCATTCTAATATGCTTATTTGATGCTCAAGAAACATTTCTTATTATTATTATCAATGTTGAAAACTGTTGTGCTGCTTGATATTTTTGGGTAAACATCATACATTTTTTTTGTATTCTTTGATGAATAGAAGGTTCAAAAGAACAGAATTGATTTGAAATAGAAATATTTTGTGACAGCACAAATGTCTTTACTGTGACTTTTGATCAATTTAATGCGTCCTTGCTGACGCTTGTTTTTCATACAACACAAAACCTGCTTTGCTTTCGGCAACACAAACCGATTAAGCCAATAATGTGAATGCAGTGGGTGTAAAAAAAATATAAGTACACGGTGAGACCCACAGTATAGATTTTCAGATCTATTAAGTTTATCCTTCTGTGCATAAAAATTTACAGCACACACTGGGCATTTGAGCAGGAAAAAACATCATTTGTAAAACTATCTTTGTATCCACCCAGTCTGAGCCTCTGGAGGATTCCTCCTGGGAAACTCTCATCTATACTGCACAGGCAAGCTAAACAGTGCTGTGAACTTTGAAGCATGTTTCAGGTTTAAGCTACTGAGAAGGAGTTCAAAGGAAACACAATGTCTAAGGCTTGTCTGAACATAAGGCCCAGGGCTTTGGTGGAAGAGCCGTCTCTCCTGACCTCAGCTACACTGAAAAGACTTCTGAAGTCTGTGAATGTATATATACACTCACACAACGAACGTAAGAACATCCAAAATATATTTAATACATTTAATACATCCAAAACATCTTTTGGCAATAGAAATGACCCAGTTTAACATCAGACCTTTGACTCATAGGGCCCTATTTTAACGATCTGAAACGCAAGTGTCAAAGCGCAAAGCGCAAGTAACTTTGTGGGCGGATCCCGGCGCTGTTGCTATTTTCCCGGCGGGATAAATGCCTCTTGCGCCTGGCGCAAATCTAAAAGGGGTTGGTCTGAAGTAGCTACATTACTCATAGGTGTGGTTTGGGCGTAACGTGAAATAAACCAATCAGAGCGTCATCTCACATTCCCTTTAAGAGCAGGCGCGCTTGTTCTAAAGCGGATTCCTATTATAACGGCGGATTTGCCAGGCGCGCGCCAGGAGCGGTTCACAGCCGAGGAGAGCAACGTTCTCGTCAGGGCCGTAAAACACAGAGAAGTGACATTGGGGATGGAGAAACCCACACAAATTAACTTCTGTTAAACAGGCGTATGATAATTTGGGTAAATGTGTAAGCTACATGTATGCTTTTATAATAAATTGTCTATCTATCTATCTATCTATCTATCTATCTATCTATCTATCTATCTATCTATCTATCTATCTATCTATCTATCGTAATAATGTATGATTTGCAAAAATGAAAACTGCTGCTTAGATGAGAGAATCAAAGTGTATGCGCGTTGTGCATTGCACTACAGTGTGCACAACACACTACATTGATTATGGCCAAGCATGCGCCCTTAAAATAGCATAATGAACAACGCGCAACACGCCACTGACTTTAGACTAGGTTTTTTCTGGTCAGTGGCGCAATTGTCTTATAGAACAGCAAAATAGCATGAGGGAAAGTTTGCGCCGGAACACGCCTCCTCTTTGCGCCGAACCGCCCCGGGGAGCGCAAGTGTATTTCTTAGTTAACCGACGTGCGTCTGTGGAGGGAAAAGCCCGCTTTGCGCGGGTGCAAAATAGGAATGATACATGCGTCAGTGTACAAAGTCATTTGCGCCGAGTGCAAGATAGGGCCCATAGTGTTTTTAAAAACTAAGGGACAGATCAGAACAAAAAACAAATTTATTTTATTTATAATGCTTTTCTAAAACTCAAAGTGCTATGACAGAGTAATAATAATAAAAGACAGTAATACAAAAAAAAAAGAATACAAACAATAAAAAAATAAATAAAAAAAACAGATTTGAAACGAGGAGTCTTTAGAGACTTCTTAGAACAGTCCAGTTTTCGAGACCATTTTGATATGGGCATCGAATGTGAACTGCGCATCAAAAAAAAAGAAAGAAAAAAAAAGAAAGAAAAACGCGCCACCAAGGTTGCACACTTGAAGCAATGGAGATACTGAACGGCAGTCAGTTAACAAATTGAAATTATTCCATTTATGCAGAGCCGTTGGCATACCACCAAGCAGCATTTCAGTTTTTCACTAATTGAGAAAGTTGTCTAGCATCCACACTGGTAATAGATAAGAAGATAGAATGCATGGGCCCTAACACAGACCCCTGAGGGACACCCTGATGAACTAAAGTTGGTTTGGATTCATTTTTCACCAAACATACATACTGGAAACGATCAGTGAAATAAGATTTTAACCACTCAAACACATGACCAGCGATGCCTAACCACCCACACATCCTTTCAAGAAGGATGGTATGGCATACGGTGTCAAAAGCAGCACTAATGTCTAACAAAACTAAAATGCTACAAGCACCCGTGTCAGAAGAAGTGAGAAAGTCATTCGTGACCCAGACTAGAGCGGTCTCAGTGCTGTGTTCTGATCTAAATCCAGACTGAAACTGTTCTAATAGATTATTTGTGGACAACAACGAGGACCTAAGCTAGATAGCTGTAGTCCTACAGTTATAAATAAAATAAAAACATTTTAAATTCTAATATTTTAAGTTAAATATTGCTGTGTTTTATAAAAGTCAAAAGTTTCTTGGTATTTACTATTTAAAATGCCTGCCAGGAAGTGAAGCCAAGCGAATACTGAGAGGCACAATGCCAAATGCTTGAGTGACTCTAATGGGAGAGTGCCTCTATAAACACACTTTTACGACATGCCCTGCCCTGACCTGTTTGTCCATCCATTTATATTCCTTCAACAATCTGTCCACACTGAGTCCCTCAGCCCAGTCAAGCACACCTGAAACAGGCAGCATTTCCACAAATCTTACACAAAGGAGCCTGACACATGAATCCCACCAAAGCAAACTCTCACCTATTAAAACCTCAAGGTGGACATTTTGACATTAAAATGATTTTAAACTATGATATGCATAGTATGATCCTATGATATGCATACATATTATAATTAAAGCCACATATTAGCTGTTCAAGCAACATTAAGCAACCACATTTATAAAGCTACATCTCGTGTTATCACCTTACCTGGTGTGGTTGTGATGACAATATCTGAGCAAAATGGTCTTGTCTCTTTGACCTTTCTTTCCCAGGATAACGGTTCAGCTGTGGCCAAAACACAGAACTAGCTAAAGCAGTACCCCTGTTAGCCACAGCCATCCTTAAGCTCTCTCACACGCTAATACAAAACTACACAGACTCTCTAATACAAATGCACATGATACTGAAGGATTAACCAATGGGTGGGCAGAAAGTTTTGAATGGAAGAACAAGAGAAACTTTGAGGGTTCATACCCTAATTTGGATACTTAACCTACACTTAAATGAAAATTATAGACTTTCTGATTGTAATTGTAAGTTCAGACTGGTGTCAAATTATTATTATTTTTTTAAATGCTTGTGCTAATTTTAAAATAAATGCCACTTGGTTTGAAACTGTGATACTGGTTTGATAACTAATGAAATAGGATTCAGACATTTGTCCACATAATTTTTGGGTCCAGATATCAGGAAATTTTTCATATAATATAGTTTCTGTGTTGCTGTGGGGCATCAGAATCCAAGAGAAACAAAGATGCTCTCTTTCATCCCTGAATACTGAACACCAACTTTCAAAAGTTGTTCTGACACTGAGAAGTTCAAAAACATCCAGCTGGAGAGCAGACATTTCAATCCACTCAAGTATTGTACGACTTGAATAGATTTAGTTCGAAGGAGTTCTCCCATACACGAATCCTGTCAAACACAAATCACAGAGGAGGTCGAGTGAAGAGACAGGAACTGTCTCATGCTCTGTCACACTTCTCACTAAACTGTCGGAGAGCAAAGCCCTTCATCACACCTGCCCTCATCACTCCTGGGACAGGAAAGTGAATAGAGCTCAGCCCGGTCCAAACTCTGCTCTCTTCCTGCAGTGCCTTCACACAGAAATCTAATGTGACACTGTGAAACAATGTGCCCTAGTTTGTCAATGCAGCCAGGGACACAAACTAAAACTTCTCCTCAGAATATCACAGAATACCTCAGAATCTGGGATTTTGAGATGCTTTCAATGCAAATTCCCAAACATGCTGACTGTTAACAGTTTATATTTTAGAAGCCACTACTGTGCAGTTTGAGATGTATTATGATGCCTTTCTTTGTTTTAGCATCTAACTCACGTTGGCCGCCAGCTGAGAGGTCAGGGTTGCCACTTTCTCCTGAGAAGCGTCCAGCTCTCTCCGCAGTTTTCTGATTTGCTGTAGGAAAAGAAGTGGTTTCTCATTACAAACCTCAATGAGCTGTGCACTCAAACAATGGAGAATAAACTGCTTTCATTTTCTTTGCTTAACAGTAACAAAAGAACCTAGATATCCATCAGTGGCCTCAGGTAAGCACTCTGCGTGTAAGACTTTGAAGTGCTTTCTCTTGTATCATACCAGAAGAGAGTGTATGTAAAATGGGAAATTACCGTTGTATTTTGGACTGTTTGGCCCTTGATTGAGAAAAGAAAAGTACAATTAACTCTATGTTGCATGTTCATACACAATGCAGCCATAACCATGAGACAGGAATACATTCGTTTTTAGTAGTTACACGGAAAGTTTAGCTGTTCGTTAGATGTTAAGCATTAGATGACACATCATATATAGAAGTCTGCAGTCTTGGACAAATATGACAACAGGAGAGAGAATATTAATGGCACACAAACACAAAATAAAGTGAAATCAAAGGTAAATCAGTGATCAAATGAACAAGAGTCCAAATAAAACCAATCCTGGGAAATTATGGTTGTGAGTTGTTAAAGATGTTTGTCCAGGACTGTATGTGAGCCAGTGAATACAAGTGAATTAAAGATATTGATACCATAAGAGTGTCTCATAAAATAATGCAACACAGCGTAAAATATTTTAAATATGTGTGTTGTTGGTAAATGTATTGGTGTGGTTGTCCGATTCAAAGGCGCAACTGATTTTGGACTTTGTGAAAGTGTATCACTGTTTGACCTTTTATTGCTTTTACGTATTACCAAAATCACAAATATAACTAGGAAACAAGATATTCTTACCTCAGAGTGGGCCTTCTCCTCCGTCTGTGGGAGAAAACAACAGTTAAAGGAGACGAAAATAACCCAAAGACAATATTACCAACATCCCAATAGTCTTTTTTTTTGCATTCATAAAAATCTACAATCAGTGTTTCCTATTATATCCAATAAGAAGAAAGAATTAAGAAGCCAAAATCCACACCAGCTCTTTGCAAACACTTAAAGGTAAATCACAAAGCCATTCAAATTAACCAATGATCAGAATTTTGCCATTTGGATCAGATTTATGGTTACCCGTTAGTAGCAGCTGATTTGAAGCAAAACGTTAGACTGTTAGGGTTTGCATTTATCAAAAAAATATGAAGTGAATACAAGCAGACTTTTCTGTATGACAAATTATTACCTTGTCTAAAAAGGCCAGCACCTGAAAGTGAGAAAATGTGTGTTCAAATAGTGGCAAAGTCACAATACTGAGCCACCATGAGCCTCTGAGATGGGTCTACTACCTCTCTAAATCTCGTCATTAGTCTTCATTTATAGCCTTGGTGAATAGTGGAGGTTAAATAATCAACTTTGACATCTTCTCAAATAAATTACTCTTTAAAGTTATTAGTTTGTCAAGCTCAGGCAAATGGAAACAGCATGTATGATGTTACAGTTATTCAGAAACTAGCAGTTAATACTAATGAATTTACTATGATCTAAAATGGCGAGACTCAGGCAAGGAATATAATGTGTATCTATTATATTTTCAAAGGAAACCCAGCTCTAAAATAGAAAAAAAATGAATAAATATCAAATATAAAACTAAAAGGTTTATAGGCAAAATGAAAGCACAAATTAGTTCAAATAAATAATAGCATGCGATAAAATCAATAAAAAAAATACACACTCAGAGTTTTTATAATCATAGGGTACAATGGGGCTAAAGGCACACCGTAAGGAAAATCTGTTTTTCAACACTCCAGTAGTATGATTGCAGAAAAAAATATATCTTTCCAGTCCCTCTAAGGGGGTCCGGGGACATGGACCCCTGTCAGAAAAGTTTGTACATTTTAAAGTTCTATGCATCAATATGGTGCACTTTAAGAGTTATAATAATAAGTATATTATTTTACGTTACAATACCTTTCGTTTTAATTTCTTCACCTGCAAGAGTTAAACCATTAAACTTTTATTTTGGTGGAAGACTGTAGTCTCTGTAAAAACTTTAAAAATGTTGGTTTCATTATAAATATGGTGATTATCTCTAAGGTGGATAAACAGCTTAATACATTATTTTGACCTTTTAAATCTAACCATGTCATGTCCACAATTGTAAAAGTCAGCCAGTTAATTGTCACATTAAATATTGTGCCATTAGCCCTCAAATACCAATATTTAACATATTCTTCAGTTTTTGAAAAACTGTTGATTTAATCAACTTGAATGGGAATATAAATCATTAATAATACTTATGTCTCAAAATATATTTGGTAATTTTATTGATTTTCATTTGCTACATACATCTTAAATGTAACTTAAAAAAAACATTATTACTATATTAGAATCGACTTTGCGTTGATGCGATCACATGAATAACATTTAACTTGCATAGTGAAACGTAGGTTGAGATAAATATAATCAAAATAAAATATGTGCCTTTAGCCCAATATATATATATATATATATATATATATATATATATATATATATATATATATATATATATATATATATATATATATATATATATGAAAAGTACTATTGATTTATTTTTGTAAAACTTTTTAAATGAAGAAAACCAATACTGGGTGCAAGACTTGCTAATTCTTTTGCAAAATTGAAATCTGACTGATTAGTCAATCACAAGATTCTGTAGGAAGACTATAGCGTCACTCACCGCAGAATACAAAGATGATGTGCTCGAGACCAAAGACAGAGAAGAACCATGAACTGTAGACAGAGCAGAACAACATAACGATATAAATATTTCTGGTTTTAATGCTAAAGGAAACCAAAAGTTTTCTAACAGACATGCATAATTACAGATACATGCACAACTATATAGAAACGGCATGTCAATGGATTAAACTTCTTTTAAAGGAAGTAACTTCAGCACTAACCTTCATCGGTGCTGTCTCGGAAGGAGCCGGACCGGCTCATCCCGCGTGGCCGTTCCTCCAGCGAGGTGGCACTGCCACCCAAAGTGTGACCCTCCCCGTACAGCTCGAATGAATCCTGTGCTGGAATACTGTTGGAGCGGCTCATACTGGTGCTGGGAAGATTATACTGTGACATACTGGTGGGACTCACTGCAACACAAATGTCATGATGTCACAGAATTATATCTGTTTATAACCCAATGTCTGTTTATGGTGTAATGAGAAATCCAGAAATTGTAGGTGTTCTACTGTAAAGTATAAATCAGATATGATATATGTTTACATACGCAGGTTTGAGTAGTGGTATTTGCCAGCGTTGGTGCTGGTTGTGCCCGGTGGTGAAAGTGGACTTCCTGTGTCCTGCAGACCTCCAGTGGAGTGAGAACGCAACCATTCCTTTCCTTCCTCATGTGATGTCTGTCTGGAGGATGGAGGATACCTGATTGGAGGCATATATACAGGTTTAGCTATTCCACAAGGATGTATTTTCCCAAAATGCAGTGTTTTATTTTATAAATAAATGCAACTGTTCCAATTATTGAGTCTATTAAACTAAAAGCACTAAATCTTCAGCTGTGATAGGGCTTAACATGATTTATACAATAAAGCTAGATAATAACTGCCCACACAGTCTCGCATCCATTGTTCTGCAGTGATAGCTTTAGGCAGTGGGCAGACTTAGCATGCGTCAAAGACGGTTTCCATTAAACGAATGGAGATCACGTGGATCTTCCTGACTGGACTATCTTCAGTGCACACATCACTGCCTACCTGAGCCTTTAGAATTAAAATACCATATTGTGACCTAAATGATTTGCTCACATTGCGATTTAACTGCAAATAGAAGGTCACACACGCATGTAGCATTTCCGCAGTTTATCTTTCATCCTGACTGCAGATTGATGGCTCTTTTATAGTGGTTTGGACACAACAGTCTGATTTAATTTAAATGCTGTGCTTATCTCTGTGAATATTTAATTGCTTCTTAAGAGCATGTTACTGTTTCTGTGGTTGTCTCTTGCTAAAAGTGTTATTAAATGAGTGTAAAAAAAATCAGTGAGTCACAGCTTGACAAGCCACTGTGGATATGTACATTTTGCCAACACTACCAGTGCTGTGGGTTGCTGTCTGTGTGTTGCTATGCAGTTGCTAAAGTGTTCTAAAACCATTGTTTTCTATCTTAAAATATTTTAAAATGTAATCGATTACTGTGATGGCAAAGCTGCATTTTTAGCAGCTATTACTCCAGTTTTCAGTGTCACATTCAGATTCTTATATGCTGATTTGCTGATTGATCAGTTTAATGCATCCTTGCTGAATGGTAGTGCAAGTCTACAGAATATTTTCACTCGTTTTCGAAATGTAATTACAGCACAAACTGTACAGGATGATGAGCTAAAGTTTAATATTTAGGGTTGGGGGGTTCAATCGCTAACTGTATGAGTAATAATAGTAATCCTTGGTTTAGCAAACACCACTAATACATAGATGTACACATGTAGTGGGTAAGTGACACAAATTCAAAAGCAGTTGATGAGAATATTAATGCTAGTTACTTGATGGAGGTGACAACATAAACAAAAACATATTTGTGAGGACAATTACATGGATGGTGATTATATTAGTACCTTAATCCCTTTTTGGGGAGAGTGTTTCTGTCAAGAGGCATGCTATTAAAACAGAAGAAAAATAAGAGAGTTATCTACGACAAACAGGCAGTTTGATCATATCACGACTAACAGATTTCAACAACAAACTAATGCTCCATTATTTCATTAAGCATATCATGTAATAAGCAATACATTGTCATCTTATCATTTAATTAATACCATATGGATATCTGCACTTACCCCTCAGACAGGGTGGACTTGACACTGCCTGTGCGGGTGACCTTTGGCCCATGGTGATGTGGGAGCGGCAGGTCTATGGACTCTGAGCTTGTGTGTAAACTGGTCATACTGTGGCAGCTCAGTGTGTCTTTACTGCCCGCAGAGGAACTGCTGAGGTTCGGAGGCCAAGGCCGGGCGTTAGAGGGCAGAGAGAGGCCTGACGCCGGACTAGAGGCGGGGGAGTCAGTGCCCAGGTCGGGCGTTTTGCCGTACAACGGGCTGCTGCCTCCACTTTGCCCACCCATGCTGCCCAGACTACCTGTTCCTGAGGAGGGTGAATCCAGGCTGGCCTGCCGCGCCAGTGTGCCATGAGGACTGCCCAGTGCCGATGGGCATTTACCGGAGTCAGGGGTGCCAGGGGAACTTGGTTTACTGCTAGTCTTGCTGCCAAACAACCTGGGCAAAGTGAAAACAAGACAACAAATTGTTCATAAACCTTGCTTATGTAAACTGTCGCAATGAATTGAGTTGATTTCAGAAACAGTTTACACACATTTGCTCTTTCATGAAAGAGCAATGGATGTAAATGTAACCATGCAATCTCATTAAAAAACAAAGTATCATCACACAGTTTCCAGCATAACTTAATTGGTCAGCTTCTACTCCTTGTACATAATCAAATATGCTTTCAGTGGTGGATCTGCCCATGGTTAGCACTGTATGGCTCCAGCAATAACAGCCTGAGGCAAGCAAATTACACTATTACACTTCGGCTTCATGGAGCAGATCAGCGCACCATGTAGACATGTTTTTAAATGGACACACCTACTAATAGAGAGATCAGTGTGCTGGAAATCCGCTCACTCCATCTGCTTTAATCAATGCTGAATTGAGTCTGATCAGAATGGCAAATCATGCTCCCTGAGGAGTGTTTCCATATATGCACTTACATTCCATAACCACCAGGTGGCAATCTGACCCTAATCCGCCTTGTGTGCAACTGTCCTCTGATGTGGGAGAGAGGTGCTAAGACAGACTGCTAAAGTGATTCCGATTCTCAAAAATGGGTTGCAGCATACCTGCCAACTTTTGAGTTTTGCTCGGCGTGAGATATGTTGACGGGGGCGGGGGGGTGGTGGTAGAGACGAGTGAGATTTGTTGACGGGGGGGGGGGGCTCGCTCTACGCGGTTTGGAGCACAATCTCTGTCTCGCATGCACGCTCGCTCTAGATAACGGGAGATTTTTAACGAATTTGCGGTATAACTAGTCGATCACGAGTGGCTCAACAGGTAGATATATAGATAAACTCATCTTCCAGGCATTTGACCGCCCGGGTTGACACTTCAGCGTGAGATATCGGGAGTGTGGCGTGTGAGCGTGTGAAACCAATCAAATGCGGGTGTCTCACGGCCAAAGCGTGAGAGCAGCTATGTTGCAGGCTGTTATGAGACTCACAGACAACAGGGGAGATGAATGCTAAATGCATTAAAAAAACAAACAAATTCAAACTAACCGTATAATTGTGCAAATTAAACAGGCTTAACTTTTTAAAGGCTTCTCACATCTATTGTTATTGATGTGAAGGTTGTGTCCGATCAAAGTTTACAGTGTTTTGGCAAAAAAACTAAAACAAAAAACGGCTGTTTCTTAGTATAAGCTAACAAAATTAGTTAGTAAATATGGGCAGGTTTCATAACAACAGCTCATCCTCGAAAACAATGAACAGACTTACAAAAAGTATAAGAAAATATGAGCCAGACTACATTAAACATACAAACTTAGCATACTGCAGAGGACAGACATAAGCCACTTTTCTATAGTCGGGCCAAACCGTTCTCTTTGCTTAACCGATCCATTCCGATCCGGGCCAGCAGGTACAATTATGGTTTCATATAGGCTATGGTACGAAAATGGCTGATAACTGAGCTCTTTGGAATGTAATACGAATGTGTCAGTCATTTCCTTGGTAACACAAGACTTTACAGACGATATAAATTTAAATAGTGACTGCATTATGGAGGATGATCGAATATTTCTTTTAATTGTATTATTAATTTGTGTTTACGTCTCTCAAATAGCATGCTTAGCCAGCTACAGAGAAACTGGTAGCCAGACAACAGACAAGTGACCAATCCTGAGTTGCGACATCACTACACGCATTCTACCAGCACAGGAATTCCAGGTCGAGAACGGTTTGTAATTGGGCCGTAATAGGCTCAAGTGGAAAAACAACTGGAATCGTTCCTTACTATTCTTAGAACCGTTCAGCCCGACGGTGGAAAAGCGGCTATAGATTGTTCTGACCACAATTTTGTTTTGTGCGGTAAATCACTGCTTGTCATGAAACCATCAGGATTCAAGAGACATTTAGAACCTTAACAATTATAGTTAATAAACTTGCAAACATTTTTGGCCAATGTAAGTTTTTTTTCTTTTGCTACTACATAGGTCATCCCTTGATGTTCATTGTGAAATCTGGTTCTGTATAAAAACCGGTTGAGAACTAGTGATTTAGATTACATCCTTCTCTATTCATCAGAGCATTTGTGGGCTGCTAGCAAGATTTCAGGTCATCTAATGGTGGCTGGGGGGAAATACAAGAGTGAGACGGAAGGCTATGGCTATGACTCAAACGATGAGCTCCGTAATCCATCACAAAATTTCCTGGATCTCTGAGGTAAGCCTAAACTCATTGGTGGATCAAATCAGCAGTGCAGCGCAGCCTAAAGCATCTCACGTCCATCTCACATACTTACTGAGGAAACATGCTGGAACGCTCCTCCATGCTGGCCAAGAGGTCATGACATCGCAAGAGTGAGCCAAACCACAAAAAGCTATTGTTCTTTCTTACTGTCTGCTTGTGTCCATTTGTCTCAAGCTAACTGCCTACTTTGCTTTCATATTTTAGTCTTATCTCTGCTTATGTCTGCCTTGTGTCATCTTTGTCTAACTTTTCTTGTCCTCCCATTACCCCAGTCATTTTATTCAGAAAGAAAGTCGGTTACCTGCGGAATGTGGGGGATGCAATGTCTGGGTATTTGGAGCCTGGCTGTCTGAGTCCCGATTGGGTGGAAGTGGGACTGGATTTGGGGGAGGTGGACAACCCCGTTCCCTCTTGATCCGACCCTGCCACTTTCTCTTTATCCGTTTGGTTGATGGTAATGGGACTAGAGCGTCCTGACCCCACTTTCCCGGGGTCTCTTCTCTTTGTGCTGGTTGGGGTTCCAACCACCCCTCCACTACCTCCCGCAGACTTTCCGCTGACATTAGAATCAATGCTGCTAGAGCTGGAACGATGCCCGCTGCGGCCCACCACGCTGCTTCCCCCACTAGATGACTTTGCCGGTCTAGGTAGGGAGCGATACTGGAGTGGAACCTTGGAGCCTCCACAGCCTAACAAAACGGCATCATCCTGGTGTTGAGCACCATCGAGACTTGTCTTCCGCTCATTGCCGATACCTGCACCCTTCCCAATGCCTGCAGACTTTGGTACCTTGCCTAGAGTCGCAGAACCACTGGTCAGAGTGGCCCCGCTGGCTGTGATAAGGGCTCCGGCAGAACCCGGAATCTTCTTAAAGCCGAAGGAGCTTGTGGTAGGTGGACGACCGATGCCTGAGGGTGGCTTCTTCCCTTCATCTCCGCTGCTCTTGCCTGCATCCGATGGTGAGCGCTGGATGCTTGGGCTCTTAGATGGGACCTTGCCCTTCTCAGATGCCTTGGCATCATCTGTTTTACCTGTCAGCACAAAGATGTTTGTTATGGCACTAGTACCTCCTGATCAATCATTCAATACTGCTGACAAGTTTTTTGCAAATAATTTCACAACCCAATCCATCATCACCAATGCAACGCAATGGCTGTTGTGTTCTAGCCAACGGCCCTTTTTTGCACAACTCAGCAAACAGCACAGATAAGGTACTCTAAGCCAAAATAACTTTTTCCTGCTGAGTGTCCCAAAAGAGTTTCAGCTGCAAAAGTTGGCTGAGATAGAGAAAAAGACAAAGACTCAAAGTTGTCAAAAAGCCTCATCTCTTTTTGATGTTACCTTCTCTTTGAAGCTACAGTAAGCAATTATTTTGAATACCATGCATAAAATGCCCCCTACTGACAGATATCACTGTTTCACTGATATGCCCTTGGTTTTGTAACAAGCAAAAAGGCATCTTTATCTTTCATGCTTCCTTACAGAAAATTGTGGGTTCCATTTTGAAAGTTCCTCCAGAGAACTGCCATTTTTGAAAAGGGCACCTAAAGTTCTTCTAAAGGATTCTGACAGTGTCTCTCTCAGTGAAACCACAAATGGTGCTCCACGTATCTTTTCATATTTACAAAGTACCACTGTATGAGATTTTGATACCTGGTGATTTGAGAGAGGTCGATGAGCCTTTGGTCCGTGGTGGTGTGATGCCAACCTGGGCACTCATGCCCCTCCTCCAGGAGCCTGTTTGAGACATGGCCAAAGCTGTCTTCTGGCCAACGTCCTCACCCTGACATGAAGAGGAAGGGGATGAAGACTTCCACTTGCAGGAAGGGTCCATACCTGGATCCATCTCTTCATCAACCTTCTTCAGATCCTCAGCACCAGCCCAGCTGCTACCATCCTGCTCGGTATGACTGTGCGTATCTTTATTTGACTGTGAATCACACAGACACACAAAATATAGTGCAAACACAGTAATCTCACATTGGCAATCCGTCTGACAGATGGCCAAACTTTTCTTACTAGCCAAAGCAAAATGTCCAAAACTCTCAGTCTGTTCAATCTGCTGTGGCCTACTGACAGACTGCTGATACAAAGCTATTTATAAAAATGTGTGTGTGAGGAGAAAAAATACATAAGACTAGAGCGTATGCACACCTGTGCTGCTTTGCTCTTGCGAGATGAGATGCCGGAATATGTGGGTGGATTCAGATCGTCAGTGCCGATGTTATCTAAAGTATCACTCAAACCACTGCTGACCGAACTACTGTCATCCCAGCTGTAGAGACAGAAAGAGAAAAGAATAAAATAAAATTATAAGCAGAAACAAAAACACCCCAAATTTTGGCGGCTTCCTTACTTATCGTGCCTGGTGACAGGAAATAGTGTATCACTTTTAATTGGAATAAGGACATTATTAGTCTGATTTATGAAAAAATAAATTCCCTTGTGGAGATGGCCCATTTGATTGGTTTTTGAAGGTTTTATCTTCTGGAAATATTTAGAGAAAGTTTGTCCCCACAAGGTTTATCTTTTATTAGACCTTTCCAAACATTCATCACAAGAACCAAAACTGAAAATATGATTGCAGTACACCTTCATTCATATTTCAAAGCCCATTATTGTTGACTCACTGTCACCATCTTATTCATATTATTTCTCTTAATTAGTGTTCTCCGTGTCTTGCCACTTCAATTCTCATTAATTATTGACAATATTTCTCTTTTCTCCACAGTCCTTGAGTTATCATTCTTCTCAATTTACCAGATCATGTCTAATTAATGAAGGATATTAAACAGTAGCTTTGACACCCTCGACTTTGTTGACCCAGTTGAAAATCCTAGCTAGGTGTGAATGCATGAAGTTATTACTACTGCCAAAGCAGAATTGTACAGGCTTGTGTAACATGGCCCAGTTAATTGCAAACTAATTTTCTGTCTATTACACAAGATAAATCGTATACTGATATTTATCACCTACTGTCTTTCTCTTGTGTTGCTAAGCGAGCTCTGTTTGATCATGTTTGGGGACGCATATGTCCTCATATTTAATAAGCTCTTCAGATCTGATCATATATTGTATTCAACTCTCTGATGACTGTTGGCTATTTGTTGTTCGGCTCTACAGACTAAATTGACAGTTATACCGACATGGAATCCATTTATACAAGACAAAGAGAAACATACTGGCATTTACAGAAATCTGACATAAAAAGAGATTGAAATATTCAAACCTCTTTCATGATGTCAATATGTGCAGTTCAATTATTCATATAGATTCTAAGATTCTGAGTAATGCTTGCAGAACTACATTGGCATCTCAAATTCAATATATTCAAGTCTACCCAGGAGACGTTCATGTCCAGGACATTTGGTCTTCTTCTTGAAATGTTTGACGAGCTAGTACATATTCTCTCTTCACTTTTATAATGTATGCAGGGCAGAGCGAGAAGGAAAGAAAACTTTGAGAGGCTGAAAGCGACTGGATAATAATTGTGAGAGACCCCGCAGGGCTCTTAACACCAGCATGTGGGTGTTTCTGAAGATTCTTGCATTAGAAATAGGCTCGGTGGGTGCGAGTATGTGCGCAATCACACTAAAAATATCATTATTGATTTTTCAACATCCTTGTTTCTCCCTTATTTAACTCCAGGAGCACTTGACACATTTAGCTTGAGATCTGATACTGTTATACAATAATGTAAATTAAAGATTAGAGATGACACAAAGTCTATTACACAACAGATCTTTTCTAAAGTCTGATTGGATGAGCATTTGATGCCACTGTAAAAAGTTGATATACTGTATGCATACATTTCACTGCAGAAATTAAAGTAATACAGCAAGCTGCTACACAACATTAAACACCCAACAGTAAGACAAATTAACAATATTTGGCAGAAAATTATTTCTTATGATTATATTACTGATGCCACCACTTCTACTTAAAGGGATAGTTCACTCAAAAATTTTAATTCTGTCATCATTTACTCACCCTCATGTCGTTCCAAACCCTTATATTTATGATCTGACAGCTACGCAACTGACACTTCAAAAAGTTCATAAAGAGATCATAAAACGAATCCATATGAATTGAGTGGTTTAGTCCAATTATTTTTGAAGAGACACGATTGCTTTATACAATGAACAGATTGAATATAGACTTTTATTCCCATATAAACATTAAACAACTCACACAGTTGTGGTAAACAGAAGCTCAAGCTTGCTTGCTTTACCTTTTCAACATTTAATTTAATTTAATTTGTTTATTACAGTTTTTTTTCTAAATGTCCAGTTTGATGATGTTCTGTTTTATTGAACACTTTTCTAATATTAAATTACAAGAAGTAATTCATATTCATCTTCTAGTCATTTAACTATTATAGGAAATAATTACATCTAATGACCACGAATGTGATTCCATCATTTAAGGGAGCAGATACAATTAACTGAAATTGTGATGTCAAGCATGAGATATATTAAAATCTACAATGGTTGTGCTTGTCTAAACTACACATTAAGTGACACTTTTCAAGAGTAAAATGTCTGCAGTATCCAGTGACTTTACACACATTAGCAGCTAATGCTTTAACACCTGGTAGAGTTATTGACTTGTTGGTGCTATGATGTGCTGGTAGTCTTGAGTTCAGACGAATGTGAATTGAAGCTGCAAGTGGACCACCAACACAAATCAATAACCAGGCCAGTTGACAATTTCCCCTAATATGCACTCTGCTGAAACCTTACCTGCCTGAGAGATTTCTAGGGCTTCCTGCTTTCTGTGCATTTGCCCTCCCACAATGCACCAGTAAACACCTGAAACTATGGTACTCAATCTTAGTTGGGCATCCTTTGCCAGTTGGACACTTTTTGGCATGGGCTCACTGGTTAAGGTCACCTTGACAGTCTTGTTTCCACACACCTATGTCCCCGCTGAGTGCGCCCACTGCTTTGAGAGAGTGATTTCAGCAGGAATGTCACTGTTGTACAGCCAGAATGGTGACTAAACCTTCACTTCTTGTGACTTCACAGGATGCCGCAAGTAGGAAATACATGATCTAATTTTGGGTGTTGGTGTTAAAAACCTTTGGGGTTTGAATGTTTCATATTCTCAATATCTTGAGTATTAATACCATTAACATGGGGACCATTTCTCAAATATATATTTCTGTTAATTGACCATGAGAAATGAAATGTGACCAATTTTATTGAAGCACATTGTCGATGGAAAAATGAGCTGGGAATGAGTTCCCCTCTAGTGCAGTTTGAGATTACATGACTTTAAAGTCAGATTTAAACAATTTGACTGTTTAACAGCGTACCTTTTTCTTCACTTGGAAGCAAATGCTGTCTTCTTATGCAAATTTGACATAATTATAATGATTGTTTACCAAAACAAAAGGCGATTCACCTAAAATATCAATTAATGCTTTCATGAATAGGGAATAATTACCTCAACATTTGGCTTTTTAGATTGAAATTTGTCACAGTTAATTCAGCAGAACAGTCTTAGGGTGGGTGGTACATTGTTCTTGAGAAATGCAATGCTCTACAGACAGTGGCGGATCCTGGAATAGGCAATATACAGTAGGCAGGTTAGTTGGTTAGGGCGGCTACATTCTCTGCATACAGTGAGACAAATACTCCTTACTTAACCACTGCTGTTTTACAGGGCCACACATGTTGTTAGCTCCAATCATTCTTATTTAAACTGAATTGTGACTTAGTAGATACCTAGCAGGTTTTCTGAGCATTGCCCTGTGCTTTACTTCACTGTCCTGTCCCGCATATAGGCCACTATCTCTATGGATAATATATCTATGAAAAAAGTCTTTACCTGTTAAAAGCCAGTCCAGGTTAAATTAATTCAAGCACTAAATTGTGGAGGAGGCAGCAGACTACCACAAAATGGCATACTTTATTGGGACTATACAACAAGATTGCATTGTGATTCAGAATAGTTTTTATAACAACAGTCAGAAACAATGCTGCTAGCAGGATAAAGACCCCAGAGAGCTGCCCTAAAAGCTTGCCCATATGGGTTGAATATTTTATTCTTTTCTGTGCTGTCATATCTGTGATGTGACTGACGGTCGGACCATGTCCTTAGACACTAGCAATACTAGTCAAAACGCCCACACTTGAATCACTTATATATGTAAAACATGTTTCATGATGTTGATTTTAGCACCTGTGATTGGTTGGCAGAATATCTTCCATGGATTGTTGTTTTTTAATTAAAACGCCTCACAATATGAGTGGCGGCATTCGCTTGACTTTCACTCGATGTTCAGTGCAAACGTCCATTCAAGCATACAGTAATATTCTCATGCAATATTCAGTGTTGAAAGAACCATGAAACAATAACACTCAATAAAGCCAGATTTTGCGTTCTACGTGGATCAAAACAAATCAATTTCTTTATCACTAGCTGTGTCTATTGGTCTGTTAAATATGTTTCATGTTGTGGCTTAATTATGGCAAAGCAACATATTTCCAGAGGAAATTAACCATCGTCTGTATGGTTGCATAACAGTCCTATTTGTAGCAACCTCAACTGAGTCCATTCAAATGCAGTTTTTTAAGAACATGTAGCCATCAGCCATTCATTTTCTTCTTTTCTTCAAGTTAAACCCAAACACTTAAGTACAAGAATTCAAAGATTAGCATAAGAAGTCTTAAGGCCACAACATCATGCAAATTATTTTTATGACTTTCATTGCAAAGAAAATCATTTACAGAAACAATCTGCTATCCAATGGTCCCCAAAGGGAAAATTTACAACAATTAGCAGGCTGTGAATGATGACACTTATATAAAGACAAAACATAAAGAATGATCCAATTTAACCCAGTAAATCTTATCAACATACATTTGTAATGAAAACAAAGTATTCTGTACTAACCTAAAGTTAATATCTAGAGCCTTAGCTGTATATTAAAACAAACGGTGACCAGCCTGTTAGAGTACCAAAGTATGTCCCAAAACCAGTGACTGATGACTCCCAAGTGAGCCGAAAGGGTGAACACTAACTCACCACCCTGCGATTGATGCTGTCTGGCTTTCTGCAAGCTGCCCGTGTCATGCTGTAGCTCCAGGGGAGGAAGAAAAAGCAGAGGAGAGGGAAAAAAAGGAGGGGAAGAAGATGGAGGAAGATTGCAACCCACCTGCTTGGCTGCGAAACACGGGCTGGAGGGAAGAGAGCGACATCTCACCACTTCTTACAGCTCCACCCCACCCCCCACACCTCACCCCTCCCCAGGGCCCATCATGCACTCTG